AACTTTCATGAAGGAAGTTTTGTCAAATTCGGAATAGAAAAAAGGCTGAAGAGCACGGACGCACGATCGTGCGTAAAAGGACGCACGATCGTGCGTAAGAGCCAACAACGCGGCAACTAATCTGCCTGCTACGCACGATCGTGCGTGGCAAGGTACGCACGATCGTGCGTACACCCGAGACGCGGATTTCAGCCCTTTTTTAGTCCCAGTTCAGCCCAAACTCATCTGTTTTCTATAAATAAGACCCCCATACCCATATTTTGACGTTACGAACATTACGGAAAGGCCTAGGGACGAATTTACTTGCGTTTTTACGCTATTTTCTTCCAAGACCCTGGGATTATTTGTAAGTTCATCTTTTTAATTAATGACAATTATTTCTATTCATCTCAATTCTGTTGATTCTTCAATTATGAATTGTGAGTAGTTTAATTAGGGATTTGGGATTGATGAAGGGGTTAATCATGATGTATGGCTAGATTCTTGTCGGTGTAATTGCATGAATGCCGTTTAATTTGTGTTTGAATAATTTAATTGATATCTCTTGTAACCTAGACTGCAGCTAGAATTACAATTGCATGTAGAATGAATTAAGAGAGATCTAATTTGTTCTAGGACACATTCACACACACTTAATCGTTCGCTAAGAGATTAGTAGCGATTAAGGGGCCGTAAGCTCGCTCGTCTTGGCAATAATTTAGGATCCTGTCGCATGAGAGATCAGCCTGGTCCCCTAAATTATTGTACTCTACGCCGCGAGAGCGGTAAGAACTTAGTAATGATTAGCTAGGCTCAATTAAATTAAATTCATGTAATTAGGCCTGATCTGCCAGAAATCTGGTTAACCCCGGAATCAATCCCTGTTCCCTTCGTCGTTAATTGAGAAGAAACCAATCTTTTATTTTCATCGCTCTTAGCATTAGTTTTATTTTTAATTCAACCCACCAATCTCGCACAATTGCACTTTTATTTTATTTATTTCTTTTTAATCGCTAAAGTTTAGTTAATCTTTAATTCCCTTTTGTCCGTCCCTGTGGAGACGATACTCGTACTTTCAACCACTTTACTACATCATTTTTAAGTGCGAGAAAACACACATCAATCCGCCGTCTGCGTTCTCCATTGGAGGATTTCAATGGTTGTTGAACCGCCATCCAAAGAGAAACGAGAAGAGAGGGAAGAAAGGAGAAGGCAAACCCGAGCAGTCCGACATTAAGGTGGAGCGCTGGGCCGTTGGCGATGTGGATGCGGCGGAGGCGGAGGCGGAGGTTGACTGGTTGAGGCCGATGCTCGTTGGCTTGGAGAAACGGGAGAGGGGAAGTTGCAGCGGACGAGAGACGGGAGGGAGAGTGGATATCTCAATCACTTTTTTGTCCAATTAAAAAAGAGTCATATATTTGGATTCCAAAAGTCAATTAGTAATATATGGGCCATTTTTTCTTTCGTTAACCTAATACTCAGTATCCTTTACCTTAATTTCTTATAATGTTCGATACACCAATGCTAATTCTAGAGCATTTCCATTATAAAAACTAGGAAATTTATCAATTTAAGACCAGAAAGTTGAGTTTACTATCAATTTCGGACCTAAAAGATATTTGCTCTCATTTAGGGACCTAAATGAAGGCAATCTATCACTACAAGACCTAATAAATTAACACCGTTAATATCTTGTTAACGGAATCTGACATGGCACTTGAAGATGCAATACTTTAAGAGCCCGTTTGATAATACTCAAATCGGCTGATTGTGCTGAAAATTATGAATTTCTGGCTGAAATGGTTGTATTGACTACTAATTTATGAAAACATTATATTTAAAATATATTTTATTAATAAAAAAGAAAAAAAATTATATGAAAAGTACTCGTAGCTAAAGGGGTTATCTACAGACTACCTTAACTTCAGTCAATACAGCCAGAAAAGTAACTTCAATATCATATTTTCTTATTATTACACATTTCAGCGCGCAAAATCGTGTTTGATTAAAAAGTTTGTTAATAAGTCTCATAAGTAAAATATTAGAGTCACCAAGTGAGCTCTAAATATCTTATCATCGGTAACAAAAGTATTTTCAGTATACCGAGAAGACTACCACATTTTACTGCCTAATCATTGATCACAGATCCGTTCCCCACTCGAACTCCACTGCTAATTTGCTATATGTTCCCCACTCGAACTCCACTGCTAATTTGCTATATGTAGTTGTTCAGATCTGCATGGTTGGTGAGGGAGTTCATTGGGCTAGAAAATGATTTGTTTGACACTCTGTAGAACAGACAGGTATAAATGATATAAATTGTGTTTATTATCATTAGTTGTATTATGATACAGAGTAACGTACAACACTCAGAGCATCTCCAATACACTCAGAGCATCTTCAATACTAAAACGTTAAAAATGCATACGTGGCATGAAAAATAACCAACTAGAATACAATAAATAGAATATATCTCTCCTTATTTGAAGGGTCTTGTATCATTTTGGTAAGTTTTTCTTCACAATATCAAGCACAACGTCTAGATGTAGACATTGTGGATGACATTGCAGAGAAAAACTTACCAAAAAAGATAAGACCGTGGAAAGAAAGAGAGAGAAATGTCATAGAATGGTTTTTTTGTGTCTATTTCTCATGTCACATGTGCACCGTGCACATTGTGGTATTGGAGATGCTCTCACTACACATACAAGATTTGCCGACAATAAAATTGTCAGTTTTTGAAATCATGATTTCTTCCCTTTACATGATAAACTTTCGAAATCCTTACAGGAGACATTGACAATCAAACTCTCCTGTAGTATATAATAGTATAAATTATGTGTCTTTACTAATTTAAAAAATGAGTCAAACCCACTTATGTTACAAATCAATCACGTGCAAAAATCCCTTCAAGAATAAATTTAAAAATTTGGAAATCTTTTTATATATATTATGATTGAATATGAATGTGAGTTTGTTAAAATCTCTAAATTATACAAACATACTAATCAATTTTTTCATTTGGCATTTAAATTTATTCTTGAAGACAATCTTGCGCATGATCAATTATAACACATGTTAATTCGAAGCATCTTTTATATTAAAAAGTGCCAATGCGCATAATTTATATATTATGAAGGGGTATTAAAAGACAAATTAATTACTTCATAGAGCGGTCAAGATAGGCTGAAATCCGCAAGTTGGCCCATTTCAAATATTTAATGATGAGTTAGGCTTATCATTGTAGACATGATTATCTAACAAAATTTTATTTCTTATAATTTTCAAATTATGTTATAGTAGTAACTACGCAGTAATATTTAATACTCTGTCCCAAATTGATTTGTAAACTCAATATTTGTAGTTAATCAATGTTAAAGTTAAATCATCTCTATCGAAAATTAATTCAATTTTCAATAATTAAAATTTATATATTCAGAAACTACATTAAAATCTCTTCAAAGTTGCAAACTCTAAATTATAATATAATTAAAAATTGACATTTCAATTAAGTGAATAAAATGAATCTGTTTGACCAATAAAAATCAATTTTGAAAATCAATTTGGGACAGAGGTAATATTCTTTAATCAAAATTACAAATATTGTGTGTTTAATATTTTAATTTTTTATATTTCCTTTATCACTCACCAATACACACACAGACACACACAAGAATTTTTTTAAAGTATTTTGTCATGTGCTAGTATATTTTTTACATTGGTCTACGGGCTAGCAGTTTAACCCAGGTTGGGTTAGATGACTTGACAAATTTTGTCCCGTCATTATACGGGTTGACCATAACCAACCCATGAAAAGCATAACCGCTACGAGGTTGTCCATTTTTGCCTTTATTTTCACACTAGCTCGATGTTACTCCCTCCGTTCTTTAATATTTGTCTCTTATTCCATTTTCATCTGTTTTTTTAATTAAATGCCCTTCTTTATATTATAGGAAAGTTTTTGATAAAATACCCCACTTTAATTACTTTTATTCCTCTTGTTTTTTACAAACTACTTTCTTTTTCCTATTTTATCATCATTTTACTCTTTTTAATATATTATCTTTCCTACTTTATCATCATTTTACTCTTTTTTAATATACCCTCTTTCCTACTTTATCATTTACCATATACACTCTATACTTACCCTACTATTTTTCTCTTAAAACTTGTGCCCAAGCCTAAAGAGACAAATAATTAAGAACAGAGGGAGTATTTAATTTTCATTGGGTAATTATAGAATGTCATTTAATTGTTTTTTATGTTCCAACAATTTAATAATTTCAATTCTAATTTTATTTATTTCTGCCACTTCAGTATTTCAATCAGGATATTCTTACCAAACCACCAAAGAGCTACCCATGGTTTACAAACGAATGTTCAAATTATGTAAAATAATCAACGGATGTGAGCAAGTAATGGATGAAAGTGTGAAAATAGAAAAAGAAAAGTATCAAATAAGTCTTCATATAGTTTTGAAAATGTCAATTATGGCCCTCAACTAAACTATAACCCAACTAACCAGCTAACATATACCCCTCCATCCCCAAATTAAACTCCTAATTGCACTTTTTGAGTCAAATTATTTTTTTTTATCGTTATCACACAAAATATTTTAACTTTATCACACAAAATTAATTTCACGTACTTCACTGAATTATTTTTTACTGTCGGGGAATAACTTCTGGAACAAACCCTCGTAGCCTCACATCATCTCGCCGGTGGCCTACTTACTGGAATACTTACAGTGAGATCTGTATTCCATAGAGGTTGTAGGAAAGATTGATATTTTTCAATATAGAGAGATAAATGTGGTTTTCTATGGGGTTCTCCTGGTTAGTTTTTATGGCGGATTTAGTCCTATTTTATGTAATTTATGTAATTGTGGTAGTTCGATCGCGTTATTTCTATCATTCCCGGAATATGAGTGGCGGTGAATTATTTTAGAATGACACAAATATCACTCCTCAACTTTCATTAGAAAAAAATATGATTGAATTTCCTCTTGCCAAAAAAGTGACCAAATCTTAAACGATTTCCCTTTCGGAGCCCAAGTCTTTCCGTCTCCCCTGTGCTGAATTTCTCCCAGCCCATGACTTTCCCTTTCCCTGCAAGGCTGCAAACATCTTAGAATTCGAATCTGAACTCATTCGCTACTACCACGAAGACAAAATTCAGATCTGGCACTCCATGGCTTTCATCTTCAACCCCTGCACCAGCGACGGACTCCTCATCTCTGGCTGTCTCCTTCAGCGTCTACCACCAGCAAAGTCGGCGGCTACCGCAGCGAAGACGACGGCGACCACAAGAAGCAACGGATGAAGGCTAGGGTATGAGGCTGGAGGGGGGGGGGGTATGGTGGATCGGGGTCGGGGCTGTGCAGATCTGGTATAGATCTGGGTCGGGGAGGGGTACGGTGGTTCGGGGCCTAGGTTGGACGGAACTGGAGCTGGGGAAGGGGGGGGGGGGGTGATTGGGGGCGGGTCAGGAGGTTGGGATGGGGGGCTGCGGTCTAGGGACTGATTTGGGGGCCAGGGGCGGCAGCAGTATGCCTGGTTGTCCATATGGCAGCGGCCGGAATGTTGCGGCGGCAGCAATGCCTCTGGTGGTGTCACTATGGTTATGTCACTGTGGCCGGCGGTGGTGTCACTATGAACGGCAGCGGTGTCACTATGGCTGGAGACGGCGGAGATGTCACTGCAAATGCGTCACTATGACCGATGACAATGGAGATGTCACTGTGGAAATTAGATGCCGGAATGTCATTATGAAAATGTCACTGTACATTAATCTCATTTTTGTCTAAATGTAAAAGTGGTCACTTTTTTAGAAATTAGCCTTATTTTAGAAAAGTGTACATTAATTTCCTTGGTTTTTGTCATCATGAGTGTTGTTAGTTGGAATTGTAGAGACTTGGGTAACCTAGCCACGGTTCAAGTTTTGTCCGACATCATCCGCGAACAAGGACCATTCACTATTTTCGTAAACTAAGGTGTGTAGTTTGAGGGCATATGAGAATTGAGATTTTACGAAAACAGGGCTACTATCACAGTTTTGGAGTAGAGTGACCATTCACTATTTTCGTAAACTAAGGTGTGTAGTTTGAGGGCATATGAGAATTGAGATTTTACGAAAACAGGGCTACTATCACAGTTTTGGAGTAGAGTGCGCCAAAGTGGAGGATTTGTGTTGGGCTGGAAAGAAAACACAGATCTTGAAGTGGTGGCATCACAACGTACTTTCATTGATTGTATAGTTCGGTCATGGATGGGAGGTCAGTCTTGGAGGCCGGATGACTGGGTTCTATGGTTTCCGAGAGACAAGCCGTCAAAGGGAAGTCGACCTAGAGAGTTTTAAAGAGTTAGCGGGGATGGCGTTGTTACCATGGCTGTGTTTGGAGATTTTAATGGCATTATGTACACTGATGAGAAGAGGGGTCGTGTGCTCCATCCATAATGGAAGTTGCCAGGATTCCTGGAAGTTTTAAAGAGTTAGCGGGGATGACGTTGTTACCATGGCTTCACAATTTCCCCTTCGAGGGCTACCAGTAGGGGTGTCTTCGGTTCAAACGGTTCGGTTTTCACCTAAAACCGAATACAGAACCAAAGTAAAAAGTTCGGTTCGGTTCAATTTTATGTTCAAAAATTTGGAACCACGGTTTGTTTGGTTCGGTTTATTTCGGTTCGGTTTCGGTTTTTTAGTTTTTACCAAAATATTATTGTTGATTAGAAAAATAGTAATTGGAAAACAAAAAAAAATAAGCTACATCAAATTATTATTAATAGTAATACAATTAAAAAACACACATAATTAAAAAAGAGAGAACAAACAAATGCACTTCCAAACAATGAATTTGAGAGTACGTATGTCGTATGAGTATATCAATTTAAGTATTTTCTAAATTAATTAAGAACATGAGTTTATCTGTGAATATATACAATGTATTCGCAAGTTAAAATTTTATTAGTAAATAATTTATTATACTTTCTTTTTAGACAAAGATATTTATGCTCTAAAGTTTCACGTTTACTACTGTGTCGTATAAAGTATAGTTTATATTAATACATATTTGTTTAATATAAAAAAGTATGTGATAACAAACATACATAACATACTTCGTATAATATATCAACAAAATATCATTGTCATGCAACAACAAGCAAAATTTAAATTGCGATTTAAAAAATATCAACATATTAGGACCATAGCAATAGACTTAAGTGTATGTACAAGTGTTTCACTTAATTAAACCATCAATATTAAATGTCAATATCTTGCAAATCATAATAAATCTAGTATCAAAAATTTAATTTCATAGAATTAAGAATTAAAAACTCAACAAAATATTATACTTGATGATTAAGAAATAAAATAACAAGTTTTAAAAAGTTCAGTTTATTCGGTTCGGTTTTGAGATGTGAAAACCAAAACCGAAACCAAACAAATACGGTTCGGTTTCTTGAGTTCGGTTTCGATTTTCTTGTTGTTCATAGCATCAGTTTTAGAAAGTAAGAAAAGTGTGTGAAGAGTGAAATACACTTAGAGTACAGTAGAAGTGTATTGGTGAGGATTTGTTTGTTTGTAATAGTTGAGTGTGAGAGTTTGCTCCTCCTATTGTAATTCTGTTCTTGATATTGAATAGAAGAATTTTCCAATCCCAACAAGTGGTATCAGAGTGAGGTTGAGTTTCCATACACTGTTTTCTCATTTTTTCAGAAAAATTTCTACAGGTTAGAAAATCGTGAATTTTCAAGTTGTTCGGAATCACGATCTGATCATACCGTTAGATTCGTCTCATCGATATGAGAAATCTGGTATTTTGGGGAATTTTTTGGCCACCGGAAAAGGCCGTATGCGCCGCCCAACCGCCGCCTCGAACTGCCTGCGTCATCACGCGCAGTCCAGAGGAAGAAGACGGCACACGTCAGCGCCACGTCAGCTGCTGCCATATCATCCGCCTGCTGGACTGCCCACTGGGCTGCTGCCTGAACCGGACCGAACCAGTTCGTGCTTGTGGAGGCCGGTTCACCCATTTCCAGACCGGTTTTGTACGAGGTCAGACCGGTTCCTACCATTTTTGGTCATTCCGGATCCAACGGTGAGCTCCGTTTGTCCAAATGCGGCTTCGAAAATAAGGTACGAGATATATTGAGCGTTTTAGTATTGATCATCACCGGACACCATGATTGCGCCTACTTCCACAAATTACAATATGTGGAAGCCTCGGATGGAGGATTTGCTAAATTTGAGGGATTTAGCTGATCCTCTTGATAATAATGGCGTGAAACCGGATAAGAAGACATATGAAGAATGGAAAAAAATGAATCGAAAAACTGCCGCACAAATTTGGCAGTGGATTGATCATAGTGTGTTCCACCATGTTGCTCAAGAGCAAAGTGCTTACACACTATGAAAGAAGCTTGGTAGCATGTATCAAGCAAAAACCGCCCAAAATAAGACGCTACTAATGAGGAGATTAGTAAACCATGAGTTACGAGGAGGTATTTCGGTGTCAGAACACACCAGTCAATTCCAGGATCTTGTGAATTAGTTGAGCACCACCGGATGGATTCTCAAAGATGAAGAGCGGGCGATACTACTCTTGAGCTCTCTACCTGACATCTGGAAGACTCTTGTTGTCACTCATAGCAATTATGCTCCCAATGGCAAGGTGACTATGCAGATGGTCACATATGCCCTTATGAACGAAGAAGCCCGAAGAAAAGAAGCCGGGACTGAACAATCATATGCCTTCGTGTCAGAAACCAACAGACGAGTGGGAGGCAGAAATGGAGGAAGAAGTCGAGGTCGAGGTAGAGGCCAAGGTCAAAACAGAGGAAACTCTCAAGTTCGCGGCAGATCACAAGAGAGAGGTATGTCCTTTGAAAACAGTACTTGGTTTGAGGGGTATTGTAATTTCTGTGGTAATTATGGGCATAGAAAGAGAGATTGTAGAAAGTTTCTACGAGCGCAACCACAGACGAGTCAAAATACTAGCCAAGAAGATGGTGTGACTATGGCTAGTTTGTCATCAGACGTGTGTCTTGTTACACATGGTGAACAAGAATGTTTACACGTAGGTGCTCATGATGTTGAGTGGGTGATTGATACAGCCACATCATTCACGCCACTCCACACCAGAACTTATTCACATCTCATAAGTCCGGAGACTTTGGAGCTGTGAAGATGGGAAACACCAGTTTCTCGAAGATTGTTGGCATTGGTGATGTGCACATAACAACCAATTTCGGATGCGCACTTGTGTTGAAAGATGTTCGGCACGTTCAAGATCTTAGATTGAATCTTATCTCCGATACAGCTCTGGATCAGCAAGGATATCTTAACCGATTCAAAGAAGGTACGTGGAAGTTATCTAAAGGTTCCTTGGTTGTTGCAAGAGGCCATATTTGTGGTACTCTTTATAAAACTCATGCAAAGATGTGTCATCCGAGTCTCAATGATGTTGAAGAAGAGATATCACCAAACTTGTGGCACCGTAGGCTAGGCCACTTGAGCGTGAAGGGATTGACAACTCTTGCAAAGAAGGAAGTCATTTCCATGGGCAAAGGTGTTGCCCTAGATCCATGTGAGCACTGTTTATTTGGAAAACAACACAGGGTTTCCTTGAGTTCTACGAGGAAGAACCATATAGAGTTACTCAGTCTTTTCCACTCTGATGTATGTGGACCCATTGAAGATGAGTCACTTGGAGGAAGCAGATATTTTGTGACATTCATTGATGATGCGTCACGAAAGGTACGTGCTTACTGTTTAAAGAGTAAGGATCAAGTGTTTGATCGCTTCAAATTATTTCATGCCATGGTAGAAAGAGAAACATGGAAGAAGCTGAAGTGTTTACGTTCAGACAATGGAGGAGAATACACATCCCGAGAGTTCTCAGCATATTGCGTAGCATATGGAATCAGACGTCAGAAGACGGTTCCACGAACTCCACAACACAATGGTGTAGCGGAAACAATGAATCGAACCATTGTGGAGAAAGTTCGTTGCATGTTGAGTATGGCTAAACTACCTAAGCCATTCTGGGGTGAAGCTGTGCTGACATCTTGTTATCTTATAAACAGGTCACCTTCCGTTCCTTTAAACTTTGAAGTGTCAGAGAAGAAATGGTTAGGAAGAGATGTTTCTTACTCTCACTTGAAAGTGTTCGGGTGCAAGGCATTTGCACATGTGTCCAAGGAGTTGAGACAGAAGCTGGATCTCAAGTCAAACCCATGCATCTTCATCGGCTATGGAGATGGAGAATTCGGATACCGATTGTGGGATCCCGAATTGAAGAAAGTTGTACGAAGCAGAGATGTTGTAATTCATGAAAACGAGTTTCATGGGTGTGCTTCAATAATCCGCCAACAACATACTCTCAGAAGACGAAGTCGCTGTATCATCAAGCATTCCTCTGAGCGACGAGGAGATGCATGGTGCTACTGAACAGGACAGTGATGGTTCAGTAGATGATAATGATGCTCATAGTGATGATATTCCTCAGCAGGGGGAGCCTTCATCTCAAGACGAAGCTGAAGGTACTCATGTTCGACGTTCTATGCAAGGCATAGTTCCACAGAGAAAGTATTCCACATCCGAATGGATACTTGTTGCTAGCGAGGGGGAGCCAGCAAGCATTGCAGGAATGAGAGAAATAAAGAAAAAGGTGGAGGGGGAGATTTGTAGAGATATTCCACCCTCTTTATTGGAAGTTGCCAAGAGGCACCTATCACCTTCTTGGAAGGAGGTCTCCAACAAATAAAGATGGGAGAAGATATGGAGATAACTATGGAAGCATGGATGCAACTTCCTCTTGTCTCCAAAGTAGCCTATACATAGAGTGTTCTATTGTTGTTCATAGCATCAGTTTTAAAAAGTGAGATAAGTGTGTGAAGAGTGAAATACACTTAGAGTAGAAGTGTATTGGTGAGGATTGGTTTTTTTGTAATAGTTGAGTGTGAGAGTTTGCTCCTCCTATTGTAATTCTGCTCTTGATATTGAAT